TGGTACAGACATTTTGAAAACAATCTAGCACTTCTTTACAAGGTTAAAGATAGAGTTATAATGTGGCCCAGAATCCCATCTAACCAAGAGAAAATTAATACATATCCATACTAAAACATGCATATGAATGTCCATGACAGCACAATATACAACACAAAAAGTAGAAACAGCCCAATGTCAATCATGTGATGAATAGATAAACAAAATAAGTCCATATTATGGAATATTATTTGGCAACAAAAAGGAATGAAATGTTGATGTAACTACAACATGGTGAATCTTAAAAATATAATACTGAGTGCAAGAAGCCAGTTACAAAGGACCACATATTATATTGTTTCCTTTACAGGAACTATCAGACAAATCTTTGGAAACAGTAGTTTAGTGACTGTCTAGGACTGGGAGAAAAGGCTGGGGATAGGGAGTAACTATTAATGGGTACAGGGTTTCTTTTGGGGGGAATGAGAATGCTCTAAAATTAAATTATGATGCTCACTGCTCCCTCTGGATAAGCTAAACACCACTGAGCAGCATTCTTTAAATAGGTATACTTTTCTGATGTATGTTTTACTTCAGTAAAACAATTTGAGGTTTATAAATAAGTGATTAACCACATACAGTCTTTTGGATTTAGCAACATGAAAATCATTGATAATTTTATTTGTACTGCGGTGGTAGAACGTGAACATCAGATTGAAATAAATTGAGAAATTATTCAGTTATGGAAAGAACCTCTTAGGTGTTCTTGGTTTTCTACTAAGAAGGAAAAGATTAAAGGTTTAGGAGTGAATAATCAAGACTATAAGGTTCATAAGAAGCAAAAATACAATAATTGGCCTTGCTTAAGAAAAGGATCACTTTGATGAAAAAGGAAAAAGTGTGAGTGCTGAAAGATTTGTAAATTGGATAGTATAAAGACAATTTCTACTTGATAGCTTCTGTTTTTTCTGAAGTAGAAAGTAAGGCCATCAGTTTAGGGTTAATGAAACAGGAAATGAGGAAAATGAAACAGCAATTAAAGAAATACAGTTCAGATGTGGTGGCACACACCCGTAATCCCAGCACTTGGGAGGCTGAGGCAGGAGGATCACTGCGAGTTCAAAGCCAGCCTGAGCTACATAGTGAGTTCAAGGTCAGCCTGAACTATACAGTGAGACCCTGTCTCAAAAAAAAAAAAAGTACAGTAGATCAATCAAAAATGTTTAGCACTCAGAGTTAGTGATTATGAATCTATATCAGAACTGTTCAACGTTTGCTTGTGTTGGGGTTTTTTTTGGTTTTTTCCTTTACACTAAGTTGACCCAACTACAACTCACAGAAAAGGCAGACATTTGGATTCATTCAGTATTATTTGGGGGAAGAAAAAAAAGACAGGACATAGTTTTAAGAGCACTATTAAGAAAGTGTTTAAAAGCCAGGGATTTAGCTCAGCGGTTCTGGTGCCTGCCTCACAAGCGCAAGGTCCCAAGTTCGATCCCCAGTATAAAAAAAAAAGTGTTTAAAATGCTACGCCATGAAAATTAGTTGGATAAGGGATAAAGAATTGAAAAGACAATATGTCCCAGAAGTAGTTTACCACTACTACTTTATTCCCAGTTTTTAGAATAATAACTGAATTAATGGTCAAGTGAATCCAATGGACAAAGATAGTGGGAATGGTTGAAAAACCAAGCCTGAAGGGCAATTTGAGCATCAATAAATTGTTGAACTTGGAGTTACTGAATTCAGAAGAGATACATTATTCACTGATGACAAGTTCTAGAATATGACTATGGAAAAGGCTTTCTGAGAAAGTTTTTAGAGTTGAGAGAAGGTCAAAGAACTAAGAAATCAGAGTATTGGTTGAGTATGATAGTGAAAGTTGAACTGTACAAGAAGATAATGAATCAGGTGTTACCATCTTCAGTGATGGAAAACAAGTGAGTCCATACATGATTCAGACGAAGAGCAGTTGAGTGCAGTAGAGCAGATATGACAGTATCTCCAGGAGAATAGGAGTTTATAAGAGACCCAGGAAATAATGGTCAAAAACCAATAATGATCCCATTACTAACTCTTGGCATAGAAATACATGGGGTATGTTGAACATAAACAGTTTCCACTCAAAAAGATGTAAGAGAACCACTAATTTCAGGAAAGAGGCCCATTTCTCTGCAAACTAAGAGATGCAATCACTCTATGAAGAATATAAAATATAGTAGAGTATATCATGAAACAAAAGCTCCAGAAACATCAAGGGTGAGAAGAAGGGTTGAGGATAAAAGGAGAAAAATGACAGAACATAATGAGGATGGCAGGATGTGGCTAACCTATGACATATATGGGTGGGGAGAGCCTTTTGGACTTTGCCTGAAGGAATAAGATATAGTTGATTTAGTCTCAAAGACTTCTGTGCCTAAGTGATCTTCAGTATTCAATTGATTAATTATATTTAAGTATATCCAGAAAATGAAGTAATCTAAAGTCATTAAAATAGTGTAGAATATTGATATGGAAAATTGGTTCCAATATAATAAATGAAAAAGTAGTTTACATGAACTATATGTATAGTATCCTTTTTATGAAAGAAGAAAATTCTGTGGATGGGTAATATTTTAATGTTTCAAATATATTGTGATTTCTTAAAGACTAGATGTCCAAAGATTTTTTTTTTTGGTACCAAGGATCGAACTCAGGACCTTGCGCTTGTGAGGCAGGCGCAGTGCCACTGAGCTAAATCCTCAGTCCTGTCCAAAGATTTTTAAAGTTTCTTATGGAGCAAGGTGCCAAAACTTAAGCCTTGTGACCATTCATTTCTTTAACAAATATCTGGCACCTACCTTTTGCCAGATACTATTCTTTACCACTAGAGATAACAGTAAACAAAATAATGACCCTATTCTTAGACAGCCCACCAGACTATTGAGATGGTCAATAAATAAATATATACATATAACATATCTTAAATTACATTGAGTGAGATAAGAATTAAATACCAGTGAAGTGTCTATGCAGTGATACTTCATTTGCATAGAGTAGCTAAGGAAGGGCCTGTTTGAGGAGATGACCTTAAAACAAAAACATTAATGGATAGAGAAGGTAAACAAAATCTGAAAGAACATCCTAAGCAAAGGGTACAACACATGCCAAAGCTCAGAGATAAGAATCAAGGAAAACAGCAGGGTTTTTTTTAGCCTAAACCAACTGGGTGGAAGGAAAGGAATGGAATCTGCAGAAAAAATGCAAGTCCTCTTTTGGATAGTTTGAGATGCCTGTTACACATCTCAGTATAGATATCAGCAGTTTGGTATGAGTCTGGAACTCAGAGCAAGGTTGATATTGTACCTATACATTTGGCCATGTCAGACTGGCCTTTTTTATAACTGGAACATATAGCCAAGTCAAATCAGAGGCTACATCTTCCTTTGTGTTTTGTCTCAGTATCTTGCTAGCTCAGAGGCAAACAAAACTGGAAAGAAAGCTCTAGGAAGACAGGATTAATATCACTACTGCCCAGTGCAGGATGGTACTGGCAGAGTAGACCAAATAAGTATTTTATTTATCACTTGTCCATAATGCAGCTACTAAAGTCAGCTTCTGCGCCTAGGAAACTTTTGAGTACTGGCTCTGTGAAGTAGAGGCAATATATTTAATCCCCATGGGTAAAACCTAGTCAAGGGATGGTATTTTATAGATTTGGTAAGTGAAGTATCACTTTAAATTATTCAAATACCAAACAGTCCCAACAGGGTCAGACCAGACTAATCAACCTTAGAGTCTCCTATCACACTTCACCTCAACAAACTAAAACACACTGCTCACAGAGTGCAATCTGATAATGATACTGTTCATTTCTGGTAATTAGTGCAAAATCCCACAAGAACTCATTTGTATTTTGCTTTATGGCACTTGTGATATTATTCTTGTGATAGATTGGGTGATTTTTTTCAAGCTTTGCTTTTTAAAATAATCTTGGCTCTTTGTTGCTTTTTAATCTGCCAAATTATTCATTTTTTGTGTAATGGCAAAAGTACTGTCAATACGCTTGTTGAATGAAATAAGCTATGAGCTGCATCTGAAATCTGAGCACTGCCTGCCTCAAATCTTATGATTCTTCTCCCACACTGTCATCCATAACTGAATGTGGCTCCTAGAGAAACAGAATTTTTATAATAACAGCAGGACCATAAAGATAAACATTTGTTCTTTAAAGTAGATTAATATGTTGGAAGAATAGCTTGGTTACAACTAATCATACTATACTTTTTAAATAAAATGTAGTTGGAAACTGCAGCCATTCTATCTTTTACTTTTCATGTAGTTTCACTTCTTCTTTATCTGGGTGGAAAAATTGAAGACGCTAATCTGGAAAGTTAAGGAGCCTTGGGTTTAAAACTACTCATTTGCTCGGTAATCCCAGTTCATGTGTATGTTTCTGGGCCTCAGTTTCCTCATCTATAAAATAAGAGAACTCTTCTAAACTATGTCGAAGACCCATTGCTCAATGGGTAGGCATTAATAATGTTTGCCAGTACCCAGTTCCCTTTCCCTTATTGGAGAGAATAACTGGTTCTGGGCAACCAGTTATAATGAGAAATATTGTATCACTTTGTGGCTATGGAAAATCTATGTATAGTTCTTCGTTACCTCTCTGCCCAGTCGAGATGGGAGAGAATCCCACATATTTCAGATGATGGAGCCACTGTCTCCTTAGATGTACTTTGCAATAAGTGATATATATTGCTATTACTGTATCATGCTTATTTTTCCTATTCTCTTTATAAGTTAGGAAGGAGTGTTAGAGGTTAGCAGAAGAGAAGAGCCAACAGACAGATGGGGGTGGGGCTTGTTTTTGAAGCTTTTCTGTGTGTTCTTTGCCTAAAGTTTCCCCAAGGAGGCTTCTTAGAGCACATGATGTGATCTGTGATCTGACTCTTGCCCTGGGCAACCCATAACTGGTTTCTTGGATTCTAATGTTCTGATAGCCTGATCCTTTTATGTCTGGGTTTTGTGTCTGACAGGTATGAGACATCTCTGTTGGATTTGGTTCAGTCTCTGAGCCCAAACTCTGCTTCCAAACCTCAGTCTCATCCCTCCAGAGAAGCTGGGACATGGAATCACAGTACTTTCCAACTTAGTCCTCAGAAATCACCCTGGAAGAAGATGGGGCCCTGCAGGACCCCTGAAGACCTGGAGGAGAAACAAATTCTGGAAGATATATTTTTCATTTGACTCTGAAACACAGGCTACAAAATTTTCATAGGAAATTTGTGGGTTTCTTCATGTACTGACCTAGGATGTTAAATTATTTAATTGCAAAGTAATTGTGTCTCTCCTTTTACAGGGACCTGTCTCACTGGCATCTTGTTATATTTGAATATAGAAATCATTCTAACAACCTACGATGTTTTTGCTCAGCCCAATCAGAAAATAACACACTAAAGGGAGATGGGCTGGGGGATGGTATCTTTTTTTTCTATGCCAAACAGAGATTAGAACCTTGCTTACTTTCTGCAGAGTAGACACTATTGTATATACAGCACCACTTCAACTGTTTCCTTCTCAGTGTTCTGCTGGAAAAGAGTTGGCTTTCTTTTGTGCACAAGCAAAACCTATCCATTAGTAGATTCCTCAAATATAGAAGTAGCCTTTTTGTAACATAAACGATTTCAGAAAGACTTTTACCATCATCGTCATCCTGTTCTCTCACCACCACTTTGATCTGAGTGTGATCATTTAATTCTGAAGTTAGAGTCGGTACCCTTACTATTACAAGCAACACCAGGAACCAGTTGTGAGTGAGTCCTAGAGTAGTAATCAGCTCAGTGGCTCCCCATCCCATAAGCAAAAGGCTCTATGGGCTAGAGGGAGGGACCAAATGAAATCTTGGAAACAAGCAGCATTAGATCACATATGGTAACGACTGCCTGGAAAAATGCACTGGAGAGATAAGCCTGAAACATTTTACCTACCAATTTTCAGGTGATCACTCCTCCATTTTCCCAGGATGAATAAAATCAAGCTCTAGGCAGTTGATTTCTTGTTGATCCAAGTGTCAGGTTTGCTCACCCTTCAGCACATGTTGAGCACTCGAAGTTTCCATGGCTGTATCTGGCGAAGATGTCACTAGAGGGACTCTGTCCTTTCCTCCCTCCCTCTCTCTGAGGATGAAAGGCCCTGTGCTGGCCAGGCCTCAGCACGTGCTCTGTCTAGGAAAGCCATGTTGAACAGTCTCCTTTCCTTGCCTAAGATCTAAATCTCTTTGTCTCTTCAGACTTAACCTGGACCTGTTGCTTTACCCAGGCTTCCTTCATTTGAGTCTTTTTGTTCTTTGGAGGAGAGAAAAATGGAACCTTGCAATATCATATTTTTAATCTGAGGTAAATACAAGGTTAGGACTAACTAGTTGTAGTCACTCCCTTGAAAACTTGAAAATCATTGCAGGTTAGTTTCCTTTTAAAGTTTTTCCCTGTGAGAGTAACCAAATCACTCTCATCCCATTTTGCCTTTGGATTCCTGTGCTTTCTTTGGTGTGGTAGAAATGTCTACAGACTGAGAGCCCTCAGCCATCTTCTCACAGTTAGATTTCCAGAACTATATTCTCCCTGCCCCGTGTGTCCCAACCAGCTCAAATGTACTTTTCTACCATGGACCAGCCATAACCGTAGACACTTGTTCTGGACACCGGTGTCCTTCCTGCTGTCTGGAGAGAAAGGACCCAGAAGAATCAAGTCAAGGATTGTCATTTTTTTTAAGAGTCTGTTTGCCTTTATACAAATCACAAACAGAACCTAAAAACTAAAGACTTTTGGGGGGTCACATGCCACCAAATAGAGTTTACTTCTTTTCCTCCCCCAAATGGGCAGTTCAGAGGAGAAAAGAGGGATTTCAGTCAACAGACTGTCAAGTCAACACAGTTCTCATATGCCACACTACCCCACCAGTTGCCTTTCTGTATCCTGTAGACATTATGTTCATGTTGGTGTGAGGGCAACTAGATGTGAATTTGTAGATATTCTAATGTCTTCACTATAAGTTGAATAATATATATTAAATTTTTAATCTGTATGAAATTTATGTTGAGATATATATGTTGTTGCAGAGCCTGGAGGCTTAACCTGATTGCACACTGTCCAACCAAGAAAGGGTCTGGCACAAAGGAATTAAGTGCTCCCAACAACATCTGGTTGGGATTTGCTTGCTTGGCCTCTAGATGGTTTACCCAAAGCAAGACTGGACATATACTGAAGGTGCTACAGGTAATGCTACAGCATTGCTCACCCTGTAAGATAGAAAACAATCAGCACTTATAAAACGCAACAGAGTATGTCCACTGAAACTCCCTAAGTAAAGCTCAAATTATATGATTTTTAAAAACCAAAGTTGATCAAAGAAAACTGATGACATCACTCTTTCAGGAGGCACACTTGAGTTTATCCAAACCTGATCCTCAGAGTGGGGACTTATCTGGAGCACCCCAAATGTCACGAGGAGGGAGGAACTTTCTCTTTCTGCGGAGCCACTCTTTTCACTTGTTCCTGCTTCCAGCATCAAGAACCATCCTGAAGACTTGCTGGCCAGAGACCATGGAAAGTAGAGAAGCCTAAAGGAGCAGAGCTGAGTGCAATCTGCTGAAGGAGGTGGAGGCTCTGGTTTTATCCTCAGCTCAATGTGTGTGATTTTTAAAGTCAGCAAATATTTGTACATGTATGAAATTTTAAGTTAATAAATTATCTCTGTGGCTATTTTCCTCATGTGGTTTTGAAACTGAATTGTCCCTTGAATATCCCCCATTAGTGGGGCATAGCTTAAAAGCAAGAATACAGCCCTGGGTTGTCAAAATGTTATTTTCATCAGTTGATAGAACAGCAAGAGCTTGTGGTCAACCAGAAGAAAGGAAATAGTGTGCCGTGGTCTACTTGGTTTTCCTGGTGTGGCTCCAGCTTTTTCACATCACATAGACACCAATCCTCCTGTAGGTTCTATGGCTACTGGAATAGAAGATTCAGTCTGTGATACCTCTGAGTATCTTCTGTGTACTTATCCCCCATAGATGCTCAACACAGTACTGGAGACAGGAGGCACAGTCTTGTCTACTTGGCTTTAGATGCTAGAAAAATATTGATGCGGGCTTGAGTGCCTGAATACACTGGTTCTGAGATTACACCCACAGATTCAATGAAGATAGTCAAAGACTCTTTCTTGCCCCCATCTTCTGGACCAGCCTGGTGCCTCCATCTCAACAAGAAAACTTTGCCTCAGAGATAGCAAGCACAGAATCATTACTCAACCTGCTCTCAAGCTAAAAATAAAAGAGGCAAAGTTTGCCCCAGTTATCATAATGTTACCATTGAGTCTACAGACAAAGCTGGAGATGAGTGGGGTTGTCCTCATCCTGAAAGGATAAATAAGCTGGCAGGTATAGAACCTCTTTTATAGATGGGTGGCCAGTCATGTGGTTTCTTGGAGTTTCTGTTTAAGCAACAATTCCTCAGTGCCTGGGATTCCATTGTTCTTTCTAACCTCTCAGGCTTCAGTGTCATAGCTATTTTTATATCCCTGTCACCCCACCACATACACACACTCAGAATTGGGCAAGCACCTTATCTTAATCTATTTGTGCTGCTTCAATAAAATACCTGAAGCTGGGTAAATTATAAAGAACATAAACATTTGTTTCATACAGTTCTGGAAGGTGGAAAATCTAGAATCAAGGAACTAGCAGCTTGAGTGGTTTGGTGAGACTACATCCTCTAGAGAGGCAGAAAACTGAGTCTTTGAATGGCTTAAAAGCAAGCTAACAAGTTAACCAAATGCTCTGTAAATACTGTTATAAGGGGGCCAGGGATTTAGCTCAGTGGTTTCACCGCCTGCTGCGCAAGTGCAAGGACCCAAGTTCGATCCCCGTGCCAAAAAAAGACTGTTATAAGGGGCTTACCCCATTAATGAACAAGGAACCCTCTTTGCTTAATTACCTCTCAAAGCCCTACTTGTTAATACCATCACACCTGGATTTTGGAGGGGACACATACAAACCTAGAAAATAGTCCAGCCTTTTTTACATGCCCAACCATGAATCTATCATATTCCAGAGTCTGTGGCTGGATTGGACCTTAGCACCCATATAATTCATCACTTTTATTTTACAGGTGAAGAAAGTTCAGAGAAAAGTGATTGTTTGAGCTCCCATATCCTGTCAGTTACAAGTCTGCCTGCTAGCCTGGTATCCCCAATGGCACATCACCTGACTTGATCTGTTGTTTCAACATCAGCATTTTTAAGAATCTCAACTCTACCACCATTGCTCAGGAGTGAGCCCTTACACTTGAGCCAAGCTGAGCATTTTTATAAGTTGCATTTTGATAGGTTGTATACAGGTTGTATAGGTTGTATGGTGGAGGATTGAGTGCCACTATCTGGACCTTATTTCTGTCAGCAAAAGTGGAGGGCATGAGAAGGCAGGCTAAAGTAATTCCAGAAGCACAGGTCCAGTGTGATTTTCTTCTCCAAATAACAGAAGCTTTTACAGCCCTAGTGAAGACCTCTTCTGAAAAGACAAAGGCCAAAATGAGGGTGAGATGGAAGAGGTGGAGGTCGGATTCCCAGAGTGGTTGATATTCTAGCACAATAGAAGTAAACCAGTCAGTTCATACTTGGAATCCAATAGGAACAATCTTTATAGCGTATGTTGCCAATGTCGCAACCAACTACTTTGTCTATATCTTGCCGAATCCCAAGGCCAGTCCCCAAGTCTTCCTCTCCTCTTGGTCAGTTGAGTGTCCCCCACCCCAGCCCACCATTGCGTTAGGTGCTGTTGACCACACTGAGGAAGTGGTTAACATGAACTATTCACCCAAGTAGACCTTAGTACAAATCTCAGTTGCACTGCTTCCTATCTGAATGATTTTAGGTAAAATATTAACCACTTAAATGTAAATTTCTTCATCTGTGGAATGAAAATGATTATGTATACCTTTCATAGGATGCTTGTGGAGCAAAATACAATGAGATAATTATGTAAAGGGCCTAGGTATAATATCTGAGAGATACAAGTAGGAGGTCCACTAATATAGTAACTGTCTTATTATTATTGTTTTTATTATTACTCAGTGAATTTACACACTGAATAGAAGATAAAAATTTTCATGACAATAAAGCAAGATCCATCAGTAAATTTTCCAAGAGCTTGTAGGAGGCTGCAAGTGGTATAGCTTCTGGATAGCAGATTTCTGAGCTGAGCTTAGGCTTTGATGGGAGGAGGAGGAAGAGGAGAAAAATGGAGAAGTAGGAGAAGATTTCACCTAGAATTTGGAAGAGTCTGGGCTATTGGACTTTTTTTTTAAGTTTGGAGGTGGGGGAGGAACTATACTTAACTGAAGTCCCTTGATTTATAACCAGAGCCCTGAGAATCTTAAGAGACCCAAAAGGTATTACTAGAAATCCATGAACAATTTTTATTATTTCAGAAGCCTAAAGGACATCCTACCTGATTGTAGATGAAATCTTCCCAGGTCACCTGTAATATCATTTCTTCACTTTGAACTGGAACTCACTGTATCAAGTTATAAGGGCTGTATCAAGTTAGTTACCGTGTGGGGATCATCTCAATTGGTTACATTCAAAACACACAAATTTGTTTTAATAAAGACAAATAAATCTACCTGTGCACTTTGATAAATCATTACCATGCATGGAGGTATCAACAAAGAAGCTCCTTAGAGATGCAAAATTGGAAATTACAGTAAAGAACAAAGGAGAAAAAGCCATGGATAGGAAGAATTTGAGGCTGGGTGACAAAATTATGCCATTGTGGGGTGATGACTTGGAGTAACCAGGACAGAATATGGAAACCTAGACCCTGTGTGAGAAAGGGGGGAATACAAAAAATTGGGCATGTGGAATGAAGGCCAGAGAGTACCAATAAAACCTTGAAAACTCATGGAACACTACACACTAGACCATAGACTGGGCACTGTGTGCTATCTTTTTTGTTTTTTGGGGGTTTTTTGGTACTGGGGATCGAACTTGGGTCCTTGCGCTTGCAAGGCAGGTGGTGAAACCACTGAGCTAAATCCCCGGCCCACTGTGTGCCATCTTAATCCTTAGTATATGGGGCCTCTTTTTATAGTTTTAGTTCTTTTTTCATTATATGGGGGTTTTCTTGTAAACCACCTCAAATCCTTTATGAAATGAGACCAGGTATATGTCTATGCACACCTAAAATCTAAGGATGAATTTTTGCACTGAAGAATGAAAGTAAGGCCACCAGCTAGTAGGATTCAAACACAAACTATGATGGGAGGATCATTATTCACTATTTCTCCTTTCCTATTTCCAGGCAATCTCCAAAAGTATCAAGCCCTATTTTTCAAACCTACTCGCTTCTCTAGTACATCAGTCACTTTATTGGTCTTCCAGTCGGGGACCTCGATTTATCCTGGAACATGTGACTGTCTCTTACTACCTCTCTTCTACCTTTAAGTGGGGATCATAACAGAACCTACAGTCAAGTGTATGGTGCATTCTTATAAGTCCAGCACTTGCAGGAGGACTGCAAGTTCAAGCCCAGTCCGGGCAGTTTAGCAACTTAATGAGACCCTGTCTCAAAATTTAAAATATAAAAAAGGGCGGGGCATGTAGCTCACTGAAAAGGCCCTGGATTCAATCCTCAGGACTACAAAGAAAAAAAAAAATAGCATGTACCTTTTGGAATTGTTGTGAGGGTCAAGTGAACTAATGCCTGTGGAGCATTCAGCATAGACTAATAAGTATTAAATGCGGTCAGCTCTTCCACTATTATTCTCCAAGAAGCTATGAAGCTCATCTTATGTCACACCCTGGTAGAATGTGTTTGTTTCTCATTGCCCTTGAGAGTCTAGGCTTCTAAACATAATGCTCAAAGCTTTTCAGGATTTGGCCCACTGCAGTCTTCAGATCTTCAGCCCCTTCACACTCTCTTCCCCTGTGTTCCAGCCCCTCTGAACTTCCACTAGTTCCTGAAGGCAGTGTGATATTCTTTTCCTGTCCTCCTCACATCCTTTATCATATATCCACTGTGCTGGAAGAGCCCGTTGACTTGCCTTGTTTCTCTTTGGACTCTAAGCCTGAGGATGGCCAGGATGAGATGTCAGTCTTACTCATTCCTAGCTCCGCAGAACTCAGCATGATTCCTTGCACATTGTAAGCTCTCAGTCATTACTCATAGATACTGTAGGTAGATAGGTATGTAGGTGCATGGGTGAATGGAAATGAAACAGATTTATGGCTCCAAAGTCCAGTATCTTTTGCAGCTCTCTCAATAAAAGAAAGTGAGAACCATACTGAGCATATTGAGGGAGGGTGGGACTCAGAGATGCCTCCATTGTTTCCTCCCCGGTCCCATCTCCACAATGACTAGCATTTTCTTTCTGACGAATGCTTAAAAACCCAAAGGACTCCCCAATCCTTACAGGGCAAGGAGCATATGTCTTAGAGAAACACATCAGCACTCAGAGCATCTTACCCCCACCTCTTCCACCTCACCTCCCTCCCTTCTCTGCTCCCTTCTGAAGCTCACTGCTGTTGGTTATTTCCCAATAGCTGCTCTTTCCTGCCTCAGTGGCTTTTCCCAATCCATCTCTTCCTGTGACTCTTTCCAGGCTCAGTTGTCACCATTTCCATAAAGTGTTCCTATCTCCCAGGCATCACATACTCCTGCTTCCAGTAATACTCTGCAGGGCCTTCATTATGGCCCACCTTGCTTGTGCCATATTGT